AATTGTTGAATCACTATATTGTACACCTAAAATGAATATAATACAGTATGTTAACCACACTGGAATTTTAAAAAAAGTATTTTGGCAACTCCAAAATTTAAATATGAAGCTAATTGCCAGTAAACCTGTGAATTATTTTACCTGAAATTAATTAATTGTGTGTGCATGAAAGATACAACTGATGATTAATTGTTTGGTAATGATAAAATTATTTATTGAGTCTGGGCAGTAAATTAAACATAAAATATTTATTTATTTTTAAGAATTTATTTATTTGAGAGAAAGAGTGAGCATGAGTGGGGGGACAGAGGAGAGGGAGGGGGGAGAAGCAGACTCCTCACTGAGCAGGGAGCCCAATGTGGGGCTTGATCCCAGGACCCTGAGATCATGACCAGAGCCAAAGGCAGATGCTTAACTGACTGAGCCACCTAGGGAACCCTAAAATAGATTATTTAGATTATTTGTACTGAGAAGGATGAGCTGCTCACTGAAAGACAGTAAAAAGATCCATGACATTTTTCCCATGAGAACAATGTTTCAATATTGTTAGTCTTATGTTAGTCTCTTAGTCTTTTGAAATACTCTGTAACAGTTTTAAACTTTCTGGATACTTACACAGAAATTTTGTTTTGCATTTTAGTTTTTTCCAAGATTAATGACAGAATTAATGGAACTGCAAGAATTTTATGACCCAGACACAGTGGAACTTATGACCTGGATAAAGTAAGAATTGAAGTGCTTTTAAGACTGTTGTTAAACAATTATTGCATGCTATCTAAGTGATTCAGGGGAAATAATAAATGCTTTTCCAAATTCTCAGAAGACTCAGAATTTTACCTCCATGCTTTTAGGGATATTTAGTTTTTGATTGGACCTATAATTTGAATTTTCTAATTGAACTCTCTATTGAAAATATAGTATTGACTGGCTGACTCAGTCAGAAGAGCATGTGAATCTTGATGTCTAGGTTGTGAATTCAAGCCCCATGTTGTGTGTAGAGATTACTTAAATAAATAAAAAATTTTTTAAAAAAAGAAAGAAAATATACCATTGATAAGTTTGAAATTTGAGACTCTTGCCATCAGATACCTAGAAATGTGGAATATAAATGAACAAATATTCCTTTGGATAGTCAAGAGGATGCTTCTTTTGCCCTGGGTTGGAGGTGGATGAGTGGTAGATTGCTAGTCTTGGTAACCAAGTTTACCAAAATTTAAAATTTTAATTTTTATACCCATGCATATTTTAATGCCCACACAGGACAGAAGATGTGGTCTTCGGCCAATGGGTGTAGTGAATTGTAATTGAGACACCTTTTTCCCTCTCCCAACACATGCATATAACTAAGGGACTCTCAGAGGGCTACAGTACCAGTGAAAGGATAGACTAACAAATTACCCATAGGAGTGCTAGAAGAAGATGATAAGAAAGCATGTCTTTCTTGGCTTCATCTCTTGGTCAAAAAAAGTCTCTCCTCTGAATTTGTAGCAGTGGATCTGAATTCACATGGGTTTGCAGTTTGAAATTATACTTGTTTAATTCAGGAAATCCCCAGTCAAGAAATTACCATAAAAAGTGGTCCTGGGGTGGTTTGGAGTGCCTCATAGGTTCTCAGCCCAGGCTACACAGGTTTCCACAGATAAGAGTTCATGAAGATGAGCTCTAAAATTACAAAACACATGAGGAAATAGTCCAACACAGTAAGAATCAGCTGTTGTTTGAGATAAACAGCAGAATTAGACCTCTAGCAATTTTTTGTTTATTTATTTATTAATTTACTTGAGTAATCTCTACACCCAATGAGACCCTGAGATCGAGTTGCATGCTCTTCTGACTGCACCAGCCAGATGCCTCAGACCTCTAGCAATTTCTGATAATAAAATTTGTTTATGTCCGTTTTTGATGCATAATAGACTACCACAAAATTTAGTGGCTATAAATGATAAACATTTGTTATTTTGTACCATTTTGATAGTCAGCTGAGTCAGGGAAGTGGGGAGGATTCTTCTGGCCTGGGCCAGCTGATCTGGGACTGGGTAACCTGGCATGACCTCTCACATGTCTAAAGGTATCAGCTGAGGGGATGGAATTGACTTAGCCATGGGCCTGTTATCATACAGCCAGGTAGCCTGGGCTCATTCACAAGGTAGTGGCTGTAGAGTTCCCAAGAGCAGCAAAAGAGCACAGATGCCAATGTCAAGCATTTTTATTTTTTTTTTATTTTTATTTTTTTAAAGATTTTATTTTATTTA